GAGATATTTTAGCCAGTTTAAAAAATACTGATTTTCTTAAGTGAGTCGGGCTGAGCCCAAGCACCCCTCTGGTTTCAACATCAAAAATTAAAATAAAATTGAATTTTTTTTTTTTCCCTTTCATTTTCTTTTTATTCTTTCTTTGCACAAAACTTCATTTTACTAAAAAAAAAAAAAAAAAAAAAAAAAAATGTGTGGGTAAGGTTAAGATTTATGAAATATATTATTATCAAAACAAAACAAAACAAAAAAAAACATTAAAATGGAAAAATGACTGAATAAAAAAAAACCTTTTGAAAATTCATTTTCAATGACTGTTACTCTACTGCCACAGAAAGTAAATAAAACAAAATAATTTTGATTCAAAGAAGGAAAAATGTAATGCCTTGAGGAATGAAAAATCCAATTTTGTTATTAAAATATATTCCTTTTAATGAAGATGATGAATTAGAGAAATGAACAGTGAATTAGATTTCTTTTAGCTTTTTAATTTTTTTTTTTATCAGAAGAACAATGTTTTTTTTTTTTATCAGAAGAACAATGTTTTTTTTTTTTAAGTAGAAGAAAAAAAAAAAACATTTATAAAGTCAAATTTTTCAAATGAGTGAAAGAAAGAATAAGACACATTGTATTTAATTTATTCTTTCAATTTGTCAAAATTTTTCATCCAAATCATTTTTGTTACTCTGACAGTTCCCCTCCCCGTATCAACCAATCAAAATCAGTTATTTTGCCCTTAGTGATGTTTAAATGAATCGCTAACAACAATTATTATTATTATTATTATTACTACTGCTACAACAGCTGCTGCCATAATAATAATAATAATAATAATTATTAGAAGAAAAAGAAGCTATGTATTTTTAGAATATTCCTACTTTTGAATGGAGCGTGTAGTGTCATTTATGTACTTTAAATTAGAAATTTAAAAAAAAAGAAAAAAAAAAATTTAAACTAACTGACAATTTAAATAAAGATAATCATTAATCTGTCCTAATGATTTATCAGTGGAAATCCAAAAAGAAGATGGGGAGGATATATTAGGGAGGGTATGGAGAAGAGAGGATGCATTTTAAAATAGAAACATTGAATATTAAATACAGATAATTAAAGAGAAGCAGAAGGATAAGAAAAACTAATTGCTTCTTCTGCTAAGCTGTCACTGCCAGCCAGGGAAGTCCTACTGTGTTTATAATTAGTTGCAGTTAACTGTCAGGTCTCTTTGGACAATAAAGAATGCATGGTCAATTGAGATAATGAAGAAAGGCAGGAAGAGAAAGAAAAGAAAGATTCTAAAAGTAGATAGAGGAGTGTGAATGTCCTCGACTTTACTAATGCCCAGAAATATGGTGGTTGTGTAACCACAGGGGAATTAGACATTGATAATAACAGCATCTTTATTAGGAAAAAATATTGATTCCTCGGTACATAAACAAAACAAAAAAAAATAAAATAAAATAAAGCTCAGACAACTAAGATTAGAGAAACTAAACTTTAGTGTTGGAGGAATAGAGTTATAAAAACTGACCATTTGATTCAAAGTAAAACAAAAAATAAAAGTAAAATTTTAAAACAAAAACCAAAAAAAAATAATAAAAGTCAGAGGTGAGATGAGAAGAGGAAATGAAAATGAAAAAGAAAAAAAAAAAAAAAAAAAAAAAAAGAAAAGAAAGAAAGAAAAAAAAAAGTTGTCCCATTCAACACCTGGTGTGTCCCCATCAGCTAACTTGGCTGTGCCTTATCCTAATCAATTCGAAGCCAGGTGATTTTAATTTAGAGTGGGTGGGGAAGTGCAGAATAGAAAAGAAATATACATGTCGCACAAAACTTTTATGGTTGATTAAAGATAGTAAATATTTGTACAGGTGGTAATAATTAATAAGAGATAGATTTTACTCATTCAATTGTGATATAACTGGTAGACCTTATAACAGAGTTTACTAATTTTTATTTACAATACTATTTTATTTATTAATTATCCCCCCTCCGACCAGTTTTCCTGATTTGCTACAATCATTTTGGCTGAGGCCTGAGGTAAAAAGGATGGATTTTCTTGAAAAGTTATTGAGCAGATTAGATGCACAGAGGAGTAACTGCTGCTATTATCATTATTATGATAATAATGATTTTCTTTCCTGAATGTCCAGCTTTGTTCTTTCATGTAGCAGAGGCCCTCCCTTGGATTTAGGGCTACCATGTGTTGTTGTTGTTGTTATTATTATTATTATTTAGATATTGTTTCTTTCAGTTCAGTAACTTTTTAGTGCAACTATAGTTGTTTCATGAAATTATAAAGGAAAAAAAAAAACAAAACAACAATGTTTCCCCCCCCACAAATTGACAATGCTTTACCCCTACCAAATTTTGAATAATATTGCAGCTCATATTATTCTTGTGTATAAAATATTGCATACTTTAATGCCTTTTTGTTACACTGACATAATGAACAAAGTTTACTTTTGTATTGTTTTGCATTATAGTTATAAAAAAAGAAGTAATCTGTTAAAAATAGAATAAAATCTAAAAGCAAAAATGAGGTGATTTGGTTCAGTTAAACAGTCTGAAGAGGATTATTTGTTTTTTTAAGAATCACATTTTAAATCATTTCAACACAAAACTTCAGATTTTAATTGGATTGTGACTAATTCAAGATGGAACACAGGAAAATATGAATAATCATAATTGAAAATAGATGCTAAGTTTAAAAAACAAAAAAAAACAAAATATTCTCTTTAATAGGTAATGACTGTTCCAGTTGTCAACCATTAAAAGTTGGCAATTTCTTACTTGAAACTTTGTAAATGTCTCAAATAATATATAAAGATTTTATCATCAGAACATTTAATGTTTGTTAGAAGACTTATGGAAAAACAGTGAAGCATATTGTCTCAAAGAAAGCAAAAATCAAAGGAGGACTTGATATTAATATCAGAGTTAGACAGCAAAAATTAACATCTTTAGAAACAGTAAATAAATGGTTTTATTATCAATTCTAAATGGAAGAATAACATCTATAGACACATACATATCAAAAGTACTATCAATAAAATTCCATGAGTCTCTGTGAAAAGTTTGAAGTGTTTTCAGGACCTGCAGCATTTTTGTGAGTTAACACAAAAATAGGAAGGTTCAGAGAAAACTGATTACATTCATTTACAAAGTTGCCGAAACAGTGTGTTTTTAAGTTTAAAAAAAAGCTCTGATAATGACAAATGATAATATAATGATTTCAAAATCATAAACTTTTGTGAGACACTGAATTAAACCTAGAACTATTAACACTTTGTGTAGGGCAGGCATCATGTTCCAAAAAGAAAAAATATACATATTAAAGAGTCTTCGTTATGTGTTTTGTCCAATTAGTACATGATCGATCATGGCTCTCCACAACTTCCTATTTTGTAGTGTTTACCTATGTTAGTCCACTTACAATCCTGACAAGTTTCTGTTCTTCCATCCATTTACGCAAGCTAATTTAAATAGGTTACTTGCTGTTTCCTGCTGTCCCCTTGCCTTTAATATCCTGTGAGTGTCAATTTTTCCAAACCTTCTTCTGTCATCACAAAAATTTCAGTCTCATTCTGATTCTAAAGTGTCCTTTTTTCTTGTTTTTTGTAAAGCTTCTTTGTTGCTCCCATGTTTCATCCCTGGTAATTCTTAGCATTTTTCTACACAACCACATCTCCGTTGTCTCAAGTCTCCTCTCCATGTGTGAGGAAATTATCCAGTATTCACTTAAGACGATTGATATTATGTAGCAGTTCAGCATCTGTTGTTTATCAGAAGATGAAGAGAACTGAAGGCAGCAAATCTCTTTTCTTTCTTTCATTCTCTTTTCTTTCTTTCATTCACTTTTCTTTCTTTCATTCTCTTTTCTTTCTATCATTCTCTTTTCTTTCTATCATTCTCTTTTCTTTCTATCATTCACTTTTCTTTCTATCATTCTTTTTTTCTTTCTTTCATTCACTTTTCTTTCTTTCATTCACTTTTCTTTCTTTCATTCACTTTTCTTTCTTTCATTCTCTTTTCTTTTGTCTCTAACTTTTCTACTTACCTTTTCTCTTTCACTTTCTTTCCCCAGATCAACAATTGCTTTTTTTTTTTTTAATTCTGTCATCAAATACAAATGGACTGGTAACTGAGAGCTATACTGTGTGCATGTAACATTTTCTACAGTGCTCACAGATATTACACTTGATCTGAGGCAGAGCATACAGACGAGCAGAAGAACTGATCCGTATATAAATAATCCTGTCATTTTTTTTTATGGATAGTAGGTTAGTAAAATATTAATATAATAAATAAATAATTAAAAAAAAAAAAAAATCAACAACAAAAACTATAGTTCTGTTCCTAACCTCCAATTTACAATCTTTTCTTTAAGTAGGAGTAAAAAATTCACTGTAACCCTGACAGTTATCAAGAGGCACAGGATTGTACTTTCCAATCCTTGGGTTAGGTTACTGTCAGTTGATAATAACAGGGTGATGACAGAAAACAATAATTAGATTCAAAACAAGAAGAAAAATCAAAGGAAGAGGGGGAAAAAAAAAAACGGACAGAAAGACATTAAAGTAGAGAGCATTGTAAATCTTAAGACAAATACAAATTATAGACCATCCACTTTCCTTAAAAAAAAAAAAAATCTTAATTTTCTCCCTTTTTTTGTTATCTCCCTTGTCTGGCTGTGAACACAGGTTTGCTTGAATAGGTTCTAACTCTTGATTAGTCAATCATGTTAACATCTGCAAGAGGTTCAGCTTCAATTACAAACTACTGGCAAAGTACAAGAGTCTTTAGAATCAATTTCTACAAGATTAAGTTTTTTTCCTAGTTAGTTGTCCTCCAGTCATTTTTGTTTGTTTCATTCTGGTTTAATTCTAGTCTGTATAGTTGGTATAAAAGTGTGTGTGTGTGGGGGGGGAAGCTAAGCAGAAAGAGAGGCAGAGGAAATTTAAAGGTGAAAAAAAGTGAGAGAGAAAGATAGCGGAAAGAGTGGATTAGAGAGAGAGAGAGTGGAGAGAGCACACTAGAGAGAGAGAGTGGGCTGGAGAGAGAGGAAAGGAGGCATATAAAGAGGTAAAAAAAAATGAGGAAAGAGGCAAAGAGAGTTGGAGAGGAGAAGCAAAGAGAGTTGGAGAGGAGAAGCAAAGAGAGGTGGAGAGGAGAAGCAAAGAGAGGTGGAGAGGAGAAGCAAAGAGAGGTGGAGAGGAGAAGCAAAGAGAGGTGGAGAGATGGAGGGTGGAAGGAAGGAAAGAGGTGGAGAGGAGGAGGGTGGAAAGGAGAAGAAAGAGAGGTGGAGGGAAAGGAAAGAGAGAAAGAAAGTTGGAGAGAAGGAGAGAGAAAGAGAGAGAAAGAGAAAGAAAGGAGAGAGAAAGAGAGTTGGAGTGGAAAGGAGAGAGAAAGAGAGTTGGAGTGGAAAGGAGAGAAATTGTAAAGGTAATAAAAAGCAGTGTTAACAGATGGAAACCAAAGGAAAATAAGGAAAATGAGTAAAAAAAAAATAAATAAATAAATAAATAAATAAAAACAACAAAGGCATTTTTTAATTTTAGATTAGCTTGGCAGCAAGCCACAAAACAAAGTAATCAGTAGGTAATAAGAATGAAAAATGATGTCTACAAATGTAAGATGCCAGGTTTGCTGATAACCAGAGCAGCTCATGAATCTCTCTCTCTCTCTCTCTATATATATATATATATATATATATATGTATGTATGTACGTATGTGGGTGTGTGTTTATGGTGCATTTAAGGAGCAATTATTCATTTATACATATTTGATTAAAGACCAATAAAAGTCCATTGTTAAGGAGTTTTTATTTATTCTTCTATATTTTAGATCATTTCATGGTTTCCAATACATATTTAAATATAAATTCTTCAATGTGGGTACTTTCAGCTTTCATAAAGAGGTTTTTGTTTGTGTTATGTCAGTTTTGACATTTTCAAATACTAAATCTTCATATCATGTCTAATATACACACACACACACGTGTGTGTGTGTGTGTGTGTGTGCGTCAAAGGTATTTGTATATGTTTTGTTTGTAACTATCACTCTTGTTAGTGACTTTGCTATAACAATCTTACTGTTCAAAAATGTTTAGAAACCCCACAGGAGAAAAGATGAATTCTGAAATAATGCAGCAATAATGATCAGAAAAACAAAAAAAAAACAAGATAAAATAAAAGATAAAATATACTGTTTGGGTAAACTAGTAAAACTGATGGCTGAGCAAAGTAAAATCAACAAAATGTTAATTAAGCAACAATTGAAATGAGAAAAAGATTATGTCACCACTTCCAATTCAAGTGGGTAGATTATCCAGAGTAGAAGTCATCATCACTTTAATTAGACGTACCTGAAAATAAAAAGAGGAGAAAAAAAAAACTATATAAAAGAAGGGAAACCCAAACAACAATTTTGATACAGAAAAAAATAGAAACAAAAGTTATTTTTTTTTTAAAAAACTGATTTTACTCAAAGACTATTTTTTTCTACAAAATATTCAAATGTCACAAATCTTTAATTAATGAAAAAATTAATTAATAAATAATTAAATCAACCAGCAGGTGAAATGATACATAACATAAATTACTATTAACACTGCTTAATTTTGAAATTCTGTTAATATCACAATACACAAAAAGCTTTTTCCTCTTTCATGTTCAAGAAGATTAAAAAATAATCAAAAGCTAAAAATCCTTTTAGCTTGAAAGTTACATTTAGCATTGGTGAAAAACAACATTAATTTTGTTTATTCTTGTTCATCTTCCCAAGGAAAATATGCAACTCATTTTTTTCTTCTAAATATAAAGAAAATACTAATAAAAAGTTGCATTTTGAAAGAAAATGTATTAAGCTCAAAAATGGTGAGACCCTGATTTATATTAAACATTTAATGCACTTCATAAGACGAAGTAAACATTTGGAATCATTCTGGGAAAAATCCTCTTAAAGAAAAAAACAAACAAACATTGTTTTGAAATAATCAACAATGCAAATATAAGTCAATTTAATGGAACCAACTCATTGAAATAAAATTCATATTTTAACCATGTTCAGCAAAACAAACCTTATCACTTTAAAATTTATTAATCCTTACCAATAATATTTTAATGGATGAGACAATACATATATATTTTACTCAAATGGTAAATCTGAAAGAAATGAATTATTCCACTTGACTGGACTTTGTAACAAGAGCATTCAATTTAATTGACGACAATATATAATATAGTCTTTGTTGTTTTCTACAAATCGATTTTCTTTTGGCCTTGATGTTATATCCTGGATAAAGATCAGATTTCATTTGCACTTTATTCTTTCTATAATGAATTATATTATCACCAGCATTAAGCGGAATGACTACATTGAATCAATAGCTGCATTTACTGCAAGGAAAGTTGTGTCATTGTCGTGCCAGAAGGTTTTTTTTGTCAGAGACCATCTTGCACATTTACAAATCTACCATTCATCTGTACATTGAATACTGTTACTATATTTGGTATGGTGCACCTGTGATTCATCTCAAGGTTGTTGACAAAATCCAAAGAAGGATCTGCAATGTAATCAATCTTCAACTTCAGTCACTTTCTCACCAATGTGATGTGACTTCCCTCAGTCTTTTCTACAAATATTTTCATGGCAACTGTTCTAATGAGCTTTTTTACCCGGTGTCCTGTCTTTGTGAATTTAAGCATGCTACTAGATTAGCATCTAGGTCCCACCCTTTTACTGTTGAAATAGTTAAATCTAACTGCCATTTCTACTCCAACAGTTTCTTTTCTTGCACTTCTCACCTGTAGAACTCCTTTCTGTTTACTTGCTTCACTGAAAACTACAATCTTCAAAAATTTAAATGCAACATCAATTGCCATTATTCTTTCCTCTCACTTTCACTCTTTGTAACTCCTTCTGTACTAATGGTATTCCTACCTTACTTGGGGTGAAATGAAATGGAAAAAAAAAAAAAAAAAAAAAAAAACCCCAAAAGATTTGTTAAAAAGTGAGCATACAAGATAAAAAAAAATATACCTAGAACTTAATAAAAAGAAAATTTTATCAATAAAATTTTGGTTAAAAATGTTCCTCCAATGTCAATGTTGTATCGTAAATTAGTATAGGAAATATTTAGCATCTTTTCGCAGTGCAAAAATCACTGATTTGGAAATTCAATCAGATAATTGTTGAATTTTAATGAAACTTTCAGGACATATTCACAAATGAATTAAATTATTTTTGAAAGGTTTCTTTTTTTTAGTAATTTATTTTTTTTTGCATCTGTTAACCCCACTTATTTAATTTTATGAAATTTCAAGAAATTCTTTTTTGTAGTACTTAATGTTTATATTAGTTATAAGGCCAAGTTCTGAGAGAATTTAAATCATGAAATATTTTTAGTCAGACAGATCCCAAGTCATAGAAAATCTGCTCTGAATCATAAAATAAACAATGCAATAAAATTAAGACAGTATCTTATTAAAAAAAGCTTTTAATTGCTTGTATGTATAAAATATATCGTCTTGAGAAAAAAAAATTTTTTTCCGATAAATAATGATTTTTTTTACAAGAACTGTTTTAATTTCTTTTAAATTTTAATTAGAATAATTTATAAACTTAAATATTTTAAAATTCTGTATTAATTTATAGCAAATATTGTTATTAAATAAAAACTATATTTACTAATCATAAATGGAAAAGCTTACTGCAATTCAGCAAACACCAATACTTTATAAAAAGTTCTGAATTTATTTTGTGTGTGTATAAACATGTTGATTTTTGTTAATAAACATCCTATACAACATTATCTGAAAATAATTGCAGTAACTATAGTAAAGTTAAAATTTATTGGTAATTTTCCAACATTTCTTTAACAAGCATCTTTGTAAGTAAGACTATGAAGTCAAAGTATCTAAAATTCAATAAAATATTAGATGCTTAGAATATTTGCTTACATTTTTAAAATTACTGGGTAGTTTAAAAAAATATATAAAAATATGTTCATGTTATATTCAATTGTAAGTTATGTTCGCTTTAGAAAAAATTACTAAACATAAGTCTATTGAAACAATTGTCAACACTTTATAAAAGCACCCACCTCTGTATTAAAAAAAATGCTTTTCAACAATATTTTAAATTAAAAATAATATTTAAAATCAGATTAATTCAACTTTAAATCTGCTAATCTTCCTCAAATAAAGTTTCAGAAAAATATATTTTTGAAATATTTTTAATAAAGAGAATTATGTGTTGACAGATTTGTCTATATGGACAATTTTAGCATTTTCAATAAGAATAATAAAAAAAAAAATATTCCGGTCAATTTAAATTTAGTTTGAAATACAGCAAAGTATTTTACTTATTAGTTTGAAACTAAACTGAAAGCTTCAAGAAACATTTTTAAAAATGTATTTTAAACCTGAGGTATCACTTTTCTTTGGAGTTTTTATATAATTTCAGGGACTTACATTTACCAGCCTGAATGGTTGAGAAATTTTGTAGAAAATATGTATTTTCCAACAAGAATTGAACCTGCATCCGATACAGAACCACCATTTTTTAGCCACAGAGAACTTCTGGTTAAGTATTTTATTTATTTATATATATATATATATATATATATTACACCCATATAGTTGAGAGATGAAAGAAATTAAAGAATATTTGAAATAACACTCCATTTTTATTTTATTTTTAAACTGTGTACTATAGTTCTAGGTTTAATTCAGTGTCCATAGTAAAGGTTTTATTGGTAAAGTTTTGAAATCAGTATATTGAAAATGAGATGGATATTAATGTATATACTTTCTTATTCAGTCAGTAAAGCTTGCATTAATTCTCAAACCTTTCTTCCTGATTTTAAATACACTTTCATATTAAATGATTAGCAATGAATTTACACTATAGCTGTAATAATCCTATTCAATCAGTAATATCTGCATTAATTCCTAACCATTGACAATTTCTTTCTTCATATTCAATGCCCAATAGATAGACAAAATGTGGAAATACATTTTAGATAAAATAATGGCAGAATTCAGTGTTTAATCATCTTTTTCCACCCATCTCTATTTTTTGTGTGTCTTAAAAGATGTAATCATCCGAGTGAATGAAACTATTGTTGTATTCATTTAATAAACTGATAGTTTATACTATAATTAGAATAAAATATTTTATCAACAGAAATGTAGATGTTTTGAACTTCAATTTTATTGAGTTCAACATTTCAATTCTAAATTTTTCAAAGAATATTTTTCCCCTAAGTGTTACACAATCTAAATAAAATACTTTGGTGAATGTAAAGTTAAAATTATTTACTTTACAAAATACAAATTTTCTTCCTTTCAGAGTTGGAATAATTAAAAATTGAATAATGCTATTATATTTTATGGCATAGGAGACATGTATTCAAATTCAGGAATGAAGACGAGAAGAAAGGAAAATGAGGCTAGTGTTTCTTCAAGTTAAATGAGCAATTTCCAGAGTCCTTTGTTCTTTGAAAGCCAATAATTAAATCTGATATTTGCAAAAAGAAGAAAAAAAGAAGTTTAAGAATGCATGTTTTTCATTTAAATGTCCTAGAAATAAACTTGAAATGTGTGTGTGTGTGTGTGTTATACACAGCATATTTTCATACAAGCATGTTTGGTTAAATAATTTCGATGTATTTTCTACAGCCACCAAGAAATTAATTTGTGGACATGAAAGGACTAAAACTCAAATAAATAGGCATAATATGTCCAAATTATTTAACCAAACACACACACACACACACGTGTGTGTATGAGAATAAAAGAAATTAAATTCGAAGTGAAAAATTAACCATGAAAATGGAATGCAAGGTTGTCTTACCAGTTTGAACTTTAAAATTTGTAATTTCATCCTTTGTGCCAGGTTATCAAATTTCCCAACAAGGGTTTATTTAAACAAGAGCAACAGTACCCTGCCATATATTTATTGTAAAAATCCTAAATGCCTTATTGATTTATGAAATTAGACTGAAACTTGTAGACGATGTTAAGAAATGAAAGCTTTCCACAAGACAAATTCATAGCGATTACCAGTACAAAAGAAAGGAGAAACAGATGGAAGTTTTGTTTTTTCTTCAGACAAACATTTTAAATGGACCCGAACTGATTCTGAGAAAATTTGGGCTATCTGGGATAAAAAAAAAAAAAAAAAAAAGAAAAGAAAAAAGATGAAGGGAAAAAAAAAAAACAAACTGCGTAAGCTTAAAAGGAAAAAAAAAAATTTTTTTTGAAATGATTCTAAAAACCTTTTACAGAAGATAATTTCTATTCCATGTTTTTAATCTTCTACACAGAAAATTATTTTTATAAAAATTATATCAGAAATGGGTGATTTTCATCTCAATCAAAAATGAAAAAATAAAATGTGCTAATGAAAAAAAAATGACATTCTTCGTTCAAAGTTAGATTTGCACACGGTGGCATTGAAAGGTTTTCAGTCAAACAAAAAGCCCTTGTAAAAAAAACAAACTGAGATGTGGGCATTTCATTAGATTTTGACAAGTTGGTTGAAAACTTTTCAATGTGTGTGTATGTGTGTTTATGGTGGATTTTCTCATTGTTGATAACAAATGAGGCCTCAGTAAAATAAAGAGGTGCTTAACTTTTATAAATGTGTATCCCAAGACCTCCAGGTGTTTTGCAAACTTTTAGACAGATGAAAATATTATATATATATATATATATATATATAAATATATATATATATATATACTTAGAGGCGAGAACTGTTTCATGCTATATGCAATCATACTGACGATTGCATATAAATGTTGACTTTATTTCACTTTTTATATTTACAAACGCTCTATCTCTGATATTGAGCACTTTATCCCATAAATATAGCACTCCTTAAGACTATATTTCTTCATATTATATATATATATATATATATATATATATATATATATATATATACACACACACACACACAAAGTTGTTACATATGGAGTATGGACAAACAAGTTATGTGATGAGTAAACTGTTGCCATTTTATATTTTTAATTTTGTTCATGCATATACTTTGTTTTTGATTTTATCAATTGCACAGTATAGTAGGGTCAGTTGGGCACTGTCTGTGAGAAAAAGACAACCATGATCACTCTAACAGAAATTTGGCAATAGCATGCTGTACTGCTTGGTATTTGTAGCAGAAGCTTCAATACAAACATTTCAGAATGTTTGAGTGACAATCTGAGAATGCTGCAGAGGACTTGAAATGAGTTGGATGAGTCTAATGGTGATTATGAAGAAGTGTAATCACTAGTGATGGTCATGTTATGCCACCATTCATCTTCCCACAGAGCCTCACACTCAACATGAAGGCCTATATCAAGTGCCTTGAGGAGATAGTGCTGCCCTGGGTCAAGAGAGTGGATGCTGGAAGACTCTATGTCTGGTAACAGGACTCTGCACCAGGTCACACAAGCAGGAGCACAGAGTCTTGGCTGTCAGTAATACCAAAGATGAACTGAAGGCAAGGATTATGGCAGCATTCACCAACTTAAACAAGGAGACCATCCAGGAGAGATGCAAGAGATTCTGAAATTGTCTGGAGGCTATGGTTGAAGCCAATGGTGATTTTATTGAGTAAATTTACTCTTTAATATTTCAAGATATTTTTGTGTAATTTTGGGAAATATATCTTAAAATGAGATGTCAGTTTTATTTTCATTTTTGCATAATTTAGATGACTATATCCATAACTCCCTGTGTGTGTGTGTGTGTGTGTAATATATATATATATATATATATATATATGAGTTGCTGAAAAGTTCTTGGCTTGACCAAGAAGCTTTTCAAAGAAAAAAACTAATTTCTTATGTTGGAATTTTTGAGATGAGGAATAAATACCAAAAAGAAAAAAAAATGAGGAACCACATCTCATATTGTGTTGGAGAATGAAGCAAGAAAAACAGCCAAATTTAATCTCTTGAAAGGAACATAAAAATTCAATGTATCTGCCATGCCATGTTGTTTAACTGGTTGTGCATTTCTTGTTATTACAAATACCGATTTTCAAACCAAACAGGCTGGTCCTCCTCAGGTGATTGATTATCTAACCCAATTTGAGTACAAGATATACAAAGATATAGAAATACCAATAACTTATTCTTTTGTAAACAATAAAAAAATAACTAGTCTAAATAAGATACTCTGATCCAAGACAGAAATTCAAACAAATACATAAATATTCCTGTCATTTGCAATTAGCTACAAGCAGTGGCATGACATAGGGGTAGGTTTTGAGTACATGGAACAATTTATACTATTGCACCATCTCCTTAGAGCTGTTATAAATTCGAGTTTTGTACGTAATTTTTTTTATTCAGCAATTCTTTGTTCCCCTAAATTTTAGCACCATGGGTAATTGCTCTTCTGGCCCCACTCATGTTATGCCACTGGCTAGTAATCAATGTAATACTTTCCACCCCATGAGAATAATTAAGTGATAACCCAAATATTACAAAACTAATGAACAGACCTGAAGTTTTCTTCAGTCATGCTGAATGCTTTTACTCTCAATGAGGCTCTTTTGCCTGGAATGTATACTTGGACTCAAGATCACAGCAGACCTCAAATGTAACTCATATATATAATCTATCACTAAATAGGCTGGAAAAATGGTTGGCTCCATGTATCATTCCAGAAAGTAACTGACTACTACTGCTATGCTCTATTTATACAAGAGCCAGATGAGACCAAAATTTGAATAATCCTATCACATCTGGGCTGGCACTGTCCAATCCTCTATCAAGTTCAAAAATGCTTGCACAGCCTTGTAGGTGATGAATTGCTTTCCACCCTACAACCCCTTTCCCCACAAAAGAAACATTGCAAGCCTCTTGCTATTTTCATGGCAGATGTTTGGGCAAATTACATCCACTCCACCAGTCCAGACCTTCACAGCTAGATCCCTCCAGGTCATATAGAGTCAAATCATCCTCATTACCTTTGTATTTGATTAGTAAGGTGGAAATTCCACTCATCATTTTCCCCCAGAACTGTTGCAATGCAAAATGAACTTCCAAGGGGGTGCTTCCCTGATCACGACAATAACCTCTTCAAGTTGAGGGTCAACAATCATCTATACTAAATATTCTCATAATATCCCTATATGCCCTTACAACATCTTTATTCAGTAATCCCCTACATGAGTGGCTCTTGTGCCTTGTATTGGGTAAACAATAGTAAAAAAAAACACAAAAAAAATAGATTTGATTTATATGAAGCAATATAAAATATCAAGGAATTTAAGATAATAATCAATGCATTTTTCCAAACACTTTGGAGCCAAGAATGAGAGAAAAAGGACAACATTTTCAATTATAATCTGCTAGGCCTAATCTTTAACACGAAATGGTTTCAAGATGAAAGAGAAAGAAAATGAATGGATTTAGAAGCACTTTATCTGACAGATAACATTAAGCAAAATGATGACCTCCTCAGTAATCTACAATAAAACACTAAAATTGATTGGACACAACTTAGAAGCAACTGCAATTTACCAAGTTTTAAATTAAAGGGTATTTTTTATTGCATCTAAATAATATAATTATATAGCCTTTATCAATGCATTAACGTAAAGCACTACAAATCTCAAATTAATTGTATTAACGAATTAAATGACAGATTTAAAATAGCAACAACCAAATACAGGAAAAAAAAGAAGTATAAATGTTTGGTGTAAAAGATTCAGTAGGTGCACTTTTCTTTTTTCTTTTACTGGACTCGGGCAATAAATTTGTTTAAAGAATGTTTTATTTTTGTTTTGGCTATGAAACCTGCCAAAAGCATTGATTTTGTAACTTACCTTTGTGTCAGAACAAAGATGAGAAGAAAAGGGAGATAATAAACAGAAAAGTTAAAAATAAAATAGAACAATAGGACAATGATATAGCAAAAATAGAGGAAGAAAAAACAAAAGTACGATAGATAAAATAAAAAATATAAAAAGAAACAAAAAGGAGAACAGAGGATGAACAAGAATAACAAAGGATAATGAAAAAGGTAAAAAAAATAAAATAATAGGAAGAAAAAAGTTGAAGATGGAAAAAAAGAAAGGAAAGGAAAAAGCTGGCAGTAAAAAGAAAAAGATGAAGAAAGGAGGCAATAAAAAGAAAGAAAAAAGAAAGCAGTAGAAAGAATGAAAAACAGAGGCAGCGGAAAGAAAGGAGGCAATAAAGAAAGGAAGGAAAAAGAAAGGAAAAAGAAAAAAAAGGAGGCAGCGGAAAGAAAGGAAGGAAAAAGGAGGCAGCGGAAAGAAAGGAAGGAAAAAGGAGGCAGCGGAAAGAAAGGAAGGAAAAAGGAGGCAGCGGAAAGAAAGGAAGGAAAAAGGAGGCAGCGGAAAGAAAGGAAGGAAAAAGGAGGCAGCGGAAAGAAAGGAAGGAAAAAAGGAAGGAAAAAAGGAGGCAGCGGAAAGAAAGGAAGGAAAAGGAAGGAAAAAAGGAAGGAAAAAGGAGGCAGGAAAGAAAGGAAGGAAAAAGGAGGCAGCGGAAAGAAAGGAAGGAAAAAAAGGAAGGAAAAAAGGAAGGAAGGAAAAAGGAGGCAAAAGAAAGGAAAGGAAAAAAAAGGAAAAGGAAAGAAGGAAAAAAAGGAGGCAGCGGAAAGAAAGGAAGGAAAAAGGACAAATCATAAAAAATGTGAAACAAGCAATGAAAAAAGAAAAATGAAAAATTTTTTTAAAAAAACATGGCAAGAAAAGAAAAATCATAAAAAATGAAGGAAACCTAACATGAAATTAATTTAAAAAATTTAAATTAATGATGAAAACAAATAAATTAAAAAAATATGAGTAAAAACAGAACATGAAAAACAATTTAAAATAAGAAAAAGAAAATTTTGTACTAATACGAAAAGACATAGTTAATGGCTACCAAATAGATTTGTTCAATAGCAAATGAAAAGCAGGTCTGCTTTTCTGTGATATTTGTTAAGAAAATGAGATGTGCTTAAAATAAAAAGCCCAAGAAAAAAAATATGCCAACCAAATATTAAAATCCCCACCCCCATCCAAAATAAAAAAAAGATAAAATGAAAAAGAAAAGAAAACATACAACACACAAAAAAATCTATTTCTGTCTATTTGTGATGTGCTTAAATTGAAAATCCTGATAGAAATATTGTCAGTTGAATGATTCTAAAACATCAAGTGTGTGATAAAATGTCTGCAGGTTCTGTACCTTCAATGGCATCTCACAAGCAAACTGATGCAGGAGGAGGAGGAATGCAATATTATCCTTACCTCCTGTCCAAACACACACGCACACATGTATACATATGCGCATGGAGGTATTGATCCAAGAGTTTAAGTGCAGCCACACCCAGACATCTTTTAGTCTTGTCCCACTGTCTACTGTTCCTTAACCAAATGCATTTTGATGCATAGAGTGAAATGTAAATCATATTTTGTAGCAGTTGGCAAAGGCAGATATCTGGCCACAAAACAGAATAACATTAAGGTCAGTGAAATATGGAAAGGAGAAGAAGAAAAGCTTGAATAAATTCTTGAAAACAGAAAAGAAGGGCAAGAAAAGAGGAAATAAATCAAAGAAAGATAACACAGATGGAGAGGAGTAATGAAATTGAACAAAGACAAAAGCTGAGGAGAATAAATATGCAGAGAGAGGAGGGGGGAGAGGAGACGAAAACGGAGGAGGAGGGGGAGCGAGGGACGAAAACGGAGGAGGGGGGGGAGGAGGAGACGAAAAATGAGGAGGGGGGAGGAGAAAAATGGAGGAGGGGGGGAGCGAGGAGACGAAAATGGAGGAGGAGGGGGGAGCGAGGAGACGAAAACGGAGGAGGAGGGGGGAGCGAGGAGACGAAAACGGAGGAGGAGGGGGGGCGAGGAGACGAAAACAGGAGGAGGGGGAGCGAGGAGGAAAACGGAGGGGGGGGGGGAGGAGAACAGGAGGGGGAGGAGACGAAAACAGGGGCAAAGGTGGAGGAGGTGGAGGAGGGGACGAGCGAGGAGACCAAAACAGAGGAGGATGAAAGGACGTGCAGACAAATACCGAGGAGGATGAAGGGACGAGCGGGCAAATACCGAGGAGGAGAGGAGAGGGGGCAAATACCGAGGAGGAGAGGAGAGGGGGCAAATACCAAGGAGGAGAGGAGGGGGCAAATACCAACAAGAAGAGGAGAGTGGACAAATACTAAGGAGGGTTGAGGAGACAAATACTAAAATGGCATGGCGAGTATATGGGAAAGAAAAAATATGAATAATTACCGAGAGAGAGTGGTAGGATGAAAAGAAGAATAAATATGAAAGTGGAAAAATATATTTAATATGAACTAAATTTGGAGTTGGTATGTTAAATGCCAACTCCAAATTTAGTTATGACAATTTGGAAGGAGAGAGCTTTAACAAATTAGAAAAAAAAAAGATAAAAATTACCAAGAGTGAGAAAGAAAATATTTCTGTATTGTTAAAATCTTTTTTTTTCCTTTTTAATAAATTTTATATTTTTTAATGACATGTGATTGTAGCTTATTTCTAATTCCTTTTTCTTTAATATGACTGAACTGCCTGTACTTCTTGGAGTGATTCCCAAATGTATTCACCACAGTTTTGATATATCATTTTCCACCTACACTAGCTGCCACCCAAGGCTTGAAAGATGTCTTCCCCAAGAGTATGTATACAAAAGCAAAAAACAAGTGACTAGACCAGAATTTGAACTCAGTTTACACATTTCACTTGCTGGTAACCTTTATACTACCCACACATCCTAAACACATCCTTTTTAGCTGTTAATAAATAGTCCACTTGCAGATTTATTTGCCTTCAGTAAATTGGGAAAGCATTTCATTTCAAAAAAGAACAAAAATAAATGGTCATTCCTACCACATGAGAATAATTAGCAGATTAAATACAGAAAAAAAAAAAAAAAAAAAAATAGACAATGTTTTTGAAAGAAGCCATAAAATAGAAATACAGAAGACAAATAATAAGAGAGAAATGAATATTGATGAGGAACAGGAGCTTACTAAACCAGGTTTATGCATTTTATTTTGGCAGGTGGGTTTGGTGGGGAGTGATACCATTTTAAGTGGTAATGAAATTTCAGTGAAATGATCTCATCATGAAATCCATACATTGGCAATTTCATCCAATGATGAAGCACTGATGTCTGGGCACTCAATTTATTGGTTCCTCTTGATTTAATAGTGGCATCAGAATAGCAAAACCAAGCACAGAAAATAATGCAAATATAAAAAAGAAAATAAATTTTCAATAGAGCTTGTCCATGCTTCCCTAACTGAAGAATAATTTACAAGCATACTTATTTATACCACAGAAAAAAAAATAATGATAAACAAGCAGGTAGTTAAACAGGTGAAATTTTAATCAATTTAGAAATTTGAAACTGAAATTTTATAGGGAGGGTGTATTACACAAAAAGGCATAATTTGGATTAAGTAGTAGTTTCCCTGAGATAAAAAAAAATTAATCAAAATTGAAGAAACAGGAAAATATAGTTCATAATTTTTTTACAAAAGGAAACTAAAAAGAAATGATACTCATGCCTGCAAATGGAACTGCAAATTGTTTAACTTGTTGCACCTTTCAAACCAATTCACTTGATATAAAAGGGATAACCTAAATCCAAGACCTTCTCATGCCTGTTGATGGAACTTCTCTCTGATCGATCACGTCTTTAAGACTGCAGCCATACTCACCACACTTGGCCAAATGCGGTTGGCAAGGCTATTTAACCTGTAGTTGGTGGTTTTGAATTCAGTTGTTGTTCTCCTAGACCAGTTACCACTCATGGCTATAGGACCCAGTCTGCCCCGCTATTTACCCATAGCTGTGATGAGAAGAGCTGGATTCATACTTTTCCCAAGGGTATTTGCCCATAAGTGAATGTAATGGACATGGTTGGAATTTGAACTCAGTTCCCTGATTCCTCCATCAGGGCCTCTAGCTATTACTCTACCATGCCTCTATAAAAGTGCTAATATAATCAACAAAATTGTAATTTGAAGAAAAATCATTGAAAAAGAACACATTTCTTCTTTTCCTTTTATTTTGATATTTTTGTTGTTCCCATAACCATAAAACATTAAATCCTCTTTGACAAGAGGGAAAGCATCTGAAGAAGGACATAGAACAGAATGGCCAAAATGTGGGAACAAAAAATGTATATATATTAATATACCATAATTATACTCTCAGCAAGTATGTATGCTTGTAAAATCTGAATTACACAATAGTGAAACAAGCTTCCTATCTATCTTAGATCTACTTAAGCAATGACTCATCAATTTGTTTGTTATTGGTTAAAAAAACAAAAAAAAACAAAAAAAAACATGCACACTTTGAGTGATTCATTCATCTATTTGTAAAATATTCAATTTCCCTAAGGACATAATATCTATATACAGTACAAAGGCAGCGCACATTTCCCATGTCAGGTTTTGTGGAGAGAATAATACATGCTCCAGCTTCTTATCTCTTTCTCCAAACCTTGACATGAACAAACACAAGAAAACTAACACCATGTTTTCCTTGCTCCTAAGCTATAAATTACAATAGAGAAAGAGAGTGGGAAAGAAAAAACTTAAACAATTTCTATTCAAGATCTCTTCTCCTTTTCTTATTTATCTTCAGACTTGTACCAGTAAAAACAACTTTGAATATCAAGTTCCAAACACACTGACATAAAGATTAGAAAACAAAATATACAAACACACATAGGCAAATAAAAGGCCAATATTTACAAGTCTTTATTGCTTACATTAATTCTAGAAATTACGTACATGTAGATACAAACATTTTTGTTGTTATATAGCCCATAAAAAAAAAAAACTCAATAAAAACAATTATTGTTATAGGCAATAAAAAGTGTATTCTATTTTATAGGCTGACCACACAAATTTAAGATAACAGTAGGTTTTCTTTTCATTTAAAAAAGAAAACAAAATAGGCAATGCCTGATGAATTAGCTTTGGTAATACTATAACTCATTATAATACAAAAGTTGTCTTTTCTATGGTTTTACTGCTCCTTTACCTGTCCATCAGGCTGGGATCAAAGTGTAATATCTGCCTCTACCTTTTTTATCTCTCAATTATATTTCTGTCTTTGGACAGAAAACTTAAATTAAATGAGGGATGCCAGAACCTCCCTCATTGCACCAAAGAGGGTTTATGGAATATTGATGCCAGTGGTTGTGGGGATGGCAATTTTAGGCCCAGGAGTTCCTCCCCTTTATTTAGATCGGCTTTGAGCAATGTCCTGTCACCGCTTTGGTGAGGGTGTAAATACCAAGTATAGTATCTGTTTTTCTTTAAACTATGAAAGCATATCCAAGCTTACAGCACCTGGTATTCCCAAGTGGTTGATCATCTAGGTACTGACCAGATTCAACATTACTTAATTTTGGTGATCATACGGGGAAATGGTGTTTCAATGTGATTAGGCTGTAAGACACTCATATGAGTGAGAGAGAACTCAAAACAATTCCAAATAAATAATGAAAAACAATTTTCTATCCATTCAATCCTGTAGTTCTATTATTTGCAATTATATGAGATACAAATAAACAGAGTATTTTATTGAAATTTCTACAGAATCAAAGATTATTCTCACAAATACTAAGAGAAAGTTCCATCTTTGTGGAATAATTA